GAAAATATGTAGAGGTACAAAAACAAAAGACAAAAAAGCAAAATAGTTTCAAAAGCTAGAAGAGGAAGTAATTGAGAATACAAGAACAAGAAAATTAAAAGCAAGTACTAGAAAAAGGTAAAAAATAATATAAGTATAAAAGCAACTTTAAACAAGATCAAGACAAACAGAAGATTTAAAAAATGAATTTTACTCAAAGAAGAAAGAAGCATACTAGAAGTAGAAGAAATACTCAAAAAGCATAGCAAAGAGAAGAAAATGCTAAATATAGAATACTAGGCAAGAACTTAAGATGATAAAAATAGCAACATTAAAATCTAGTTATGCAAAGGCTGCTTTAAAAATACAAACTGAGAAGAATCTGCTCTGTACTCATTTACAAAAAAATTCCAAAGCAACAAAAGAGTATTAAAAAGATGTAGATTGAACGGTTAGCAGTAAATTGCAGAGAATATAAAATAAAGCTTAACCCAGAAATGCTAAGCTAAAAAAAGAAAGAAAAACTGAAGCAGAGAAAGAGAATTCTAAACAAAAAGTACAAGATAAAATTGTAGTAGAAATGCTAACGGAAGAATTAATCAAAAACTAAATAGAAGAAGATAAAAGACAAGAGGAGCTAATAAAAATTGCTTAAGAATGGCAAGATATAAAGAAGCTTGACTTCTATACAGATAGATCATTATATAAAGAAGAGAAAGTGCTCCAAAAATCACAAATAGGTGCAGGATAAATAGTAACAACAAAGAGTAAAGACAAGGATGAGAAAGAAAAAGCCAGATTTAATTGTATATTTAAAGATTGGCTATCTTTAACAAGAGCAGAGTTGGGTGCTATTTAGACAACATCATTAGCAATACTGGAAAACTCAGAAATTATAATATATATGAATAATCTCATCTCTATACAAGTGCTTAAATACAAGAAGGACAGAAAAGAAGAAAGAAGAGCAGTTAAGCTCAAAAACACAAGTTTCTTGTAGCAAATTCAAAAAATATGAAAGATGAAAAACCTTAAAGTATATATAAAGAAGGTTAAAGACTATAGTAGAAATGTATATAATAATTTTGCAAATAAATTAGCAAAAAAAGAAGCAAAAGAACAAAAGATAGTAACAGCTAAGTGGCTATAGGCAAAAAGATCACAAATACTAGCTAGATGAAAAAATACTACAATAGACAGTTTAATGTAGTGATTTGAACCGAGAAAATTTTCCTTAATCGGTTAACCGAACTGAATTATTTTCATTCAACCGGTTGCCAACCGGTTAATATTAATACTCTACTACCTTCGGAAATTCTCAGAGCTTTACTCTAATTTTTGTTTGTTCATTTATTTTTTCGGAACTTTTCGGAACATTTACTCCTCCTTATTACATCATTTTTGTCATTATCAGATCCCGCCAGCAGGTTGTACCGGGTCAACCGAATAAGAATTTTCTCAACCGGTTACCCGAAATTTATTCGGTTCGGGTCGGTTAACCGATTATAGCTTAACCGATTCAAGTCACTATTTCAAACATACCAACTTTACCTTCACCTTTATATAAAACACACCAAATATTATCATTTTTACCTTCATATTCATTTCAAATATGTAAAAATTACGATTTTTACCTGGAACTCGCGGTACCGGGGTTTCATTAGTGTTGAAATGCATCTCGAGTTGATAACTTGAGAAGTGCGAAAAACTAGGATATATATGTTTAGAGTAGGAATAAGCAACTTGGAGGTTTAATTATAATATGGTGAAACGAGTCATCCGAAATCTTCTCAAGTTAAGCTATTGATGGATTATAGAAAATTAGCAGAACTTGATCAAAAAAACTAGATCAAAACTTAAAAAAGTTGACATTAAGTGAATGTTTGTCATTCACAGTTAATATTGCGAGTATGTATTTTTTATTTGTTATCCGTCTTTTTAGAAATAGCATTGAGATTGTTTTTCAGGTGACACGATAAAAAATTTATGTAATGAAAAAAGAACACGGGATTTTTGTATTGTCTACTCACAACAGCGAAGATTCCATTGTAATATCACGATGAAGTTTATACACTCATTCATACGTAATTAGCATTGAGTATGTTTGGTTCCGAACTTCTGTTACTAGTACAAATACTTATAATTAATACTATTCTTTTATAGACCGCCATTTTCTATAAATTACATAATATTTTAGCACGTCTTGATGAATCTAGTAGTGGACAATCCTCTGATGAGATCACATCAACTATTGACAAGCCCAGAAGGAAGAAAAAGAAATAGATTGTGTCTTTAGAGAGCTCTGCTAATTTCCATATTTCTCTAGTACACATATTATTCATTGTCATTAATTGTCTGGAGCGAAGCGAAGAACATTCTGTTTTACGAAAGAGCATAGTGGGCTTTCATTCTGGTTGGTTAATTTTTGTAGATTATTTTGTGACTTTACAAAATCTGATTGGCTAATAGAAAACGAGTTCGAAGTAAAAGTTATTAAAAAAATATTTTTAAACTATAAATTTTAATTTATACTGTAATAATAATTTTTAATGCATTGATTCTAACAAAATGCGTATCTGGTTAAATTTAATGAAAAAGTAATATCTTTAAGAATAATCTTTATTAATCGAATCGCTTACTAACTAGTACATGGTTTAATAACAAGATAAATAATGAATAACATAAATTAATTAAAAGAATCATCCAATATCAATAGGTGTAATACACGCTTATAGAGGGTATGAACAGTATAAAAAACCACACACTAATTAAGACAAAGTGAGTAATCGTACATGTCCTACGCATATTCTATGTTTAATACGTTGTAAAATAACCCTATATTCCAAAAAAAAAGTTAAAAAACTAATTATAAGTATTATTATTTTGATCGCTATTTTTCAAGTTTAAAAAAGAAATGTTTTAACTGAGGTGCGATTACCCTAAATTACCTTGATCTATTAGACAAAAAGTGCACCCTATTGCTACCTTTTGGGTTATTCAACCTTTTCTCGGATTATTTTGATATTTTATACGCCATTCAAAGTCAGCAGTATTTACGTAACCATACATCTCAATGATTGACCGATCAGTATACACTGCATATAACAGCTGACTTTGAAGCCATGAAAACGAATTGTCAAAGGAAAACGAATTGTGGCATATAAATTCTGAAACTACACTTCACACACTATAATATATCAAAATAATACGAGGAAAGGTTGAATAATCCAGAAGTTAGTGACGGGGTGCACTTATAGGTCAAGGTAATTTAGCATAGTTAATAAGTTAATAAGTTTTTAAACTTGAAAAATAACGATCTAATCAATAATAATTAGTTTTTCTAATTTTTTTTTGAATATAAGGTTATTCGACTAAGTTTTCGGCATATTAAGCATAGAATATGCGTAGAACTTGTACAATTACACACTTTGTTCTATAGTTAATGTTTGGTTTTTTATAATGTCTATATTCTCCAGCTTAAACTATAGCTTCAAGCCAAGCTAAGCCAAGCCGACAGAGCCAGCTCAAGCCGAGTATGTGATCAATGTATTATGATCAAGCAAGAACCCAGAAAAATATTAATATTGCTTATAGGATTTTACTAGAACTTATTCTTAATAAATATACAACATTTATCGTTTGCCACTGCATACAGTACCCGGGGTCTTAGACTTATTCAAGTATTTCATTTTTTAAATTGAATAGTACCCGTGGGTACTGTGTGCGGAACCGGGTACTATATTTGTGGATATTTCATATGAACAGTAATAAATTCATATAGTTAAACCCCCGGGTACTATTCAAGAATCAAGCCAGGATGGTGATGAATAATACCCGGGTCTTAATCAAGGGGTATTATTTTGGGGGGATACTGTGTGCAATGTCGAACGGTAATTATTACAATGAGTGCTATGCAGAACTGCCACAATTTTACTCTATCATCATCTTCTTTGGTGTCGTTACAAACAATGCACGAACATTCACTAAACACTAGTTCATAGATTCTATCCATATGCTTCACTATAAACATAATGTCTGGACGCTTTCCTCTCTCTCCCTTCTGTCCTTGCTGGCCAAACTTTGCCATTCCGCTATGCAATAAAAAAAAAAATTAATAAAAAAAAATTAATAAAAAAAAATTAATAAAAAAAAAAATAAAAAAAAATAAATAAAAAAAAAATTAATAAAAAAAAAATAAAAAAAAAAAAAAATAAAA